TTATCCCATATATCCATAATATCCTCATGATCCTGGATATCTCAAATATCCCACAAATCTTCTCATACCACACTGAAATCTCCCTTAATCTACCGAAATTTTTTAAATTTATATTAGTGTTTTGTAGGGAATCGAGGGAATATGATGGCTTAATGGGACAAAAAAGGATATTCTAACAATTTTATGAAAATCTCGGAAGGTCAAGTTGCAAAATTTTTGCGTCGCAGGCGAAAATTTTTTGAATTTCCGATGGGCAGGAAGCAAAAATGCATCCTTTTTGCGCCAAAAATTCAAATTTTTGTCGAAAATGACGTTCGATATTTTTTTCGATTTTTTGTAATTTGGTCGGTCGATTGTTTCGATTTTTAAAATTTTTCGATCGATATTTTTTCGATAAATATCGAAAAATACCGAATATCGAAAAATATCGAAAAAATATCGTATCGGTCCGGGCTCTAATTCAAACCCATCCCCATAAAATATCAAAGTGACTAAAGTCACACAACTCAACCACTTAACCATCGACAAACAATAAGTAATTATTGTAGAGAGAAAATAAATATTTTCCCCTTTTCTTTTTTTTATTTTTCCCTTTATTTTTTCCTTTCAAAAATAAAATTTAATCAAAAAATCCATTCTTAGGGGTGTAAAAATTTCCTGACTTAGTCTGGAATTGACACCGGGAGTCGGGATCGGGAGCAGGGATGTGCGCCAGAATTTTCGCGTGGCGCGCCAAACGCCAATTTTTCAAATTTTCAAATCACGCCAAACGCCAGAACGCCAAAATCGGCAAAAAACGACGCCAAAACGCCAAACGCCAAAACTCCAAAAATTTTATTCAATTAAGACCCGAAAAATAAGTGTTTATCTCTTTTTAGCGCCGCAGGCGAAAATTTTTAAATTTTCACGACTTCCAGAAGTCAGAATTCATCCTTTTTTTAGCGCCTACACCCAAAATTATGGAAATTTGTTAAGAACAAGAGCAGAAATCCTACTTTTTGTAAAAAAATTGCAAGAAAAATGTAAAAATCATAACCCCAGAATTGTAGATATCGGAGGGTTTAGATGTCCAGATATCCTCTTTAACCTCCCGAAGTAAGGGACTTAGAATGGATTAAGGAGGCAGTAGTGGACTTTAGTAGATTAATAGGATTTGATGGATATTGGAGGATTGAAGAAAAGTGCATTAAGATCCTTCTATTAGTGCCACAGGCGCAAATTTTGAAAATTTTGGAAGGCTGTGGGCAAAAAAATTTCATTTTTTTGAAAACACTCCCCCCATTTATTTGGAAAATTCCCATCTTTAGGGGTGTATAATTTCGGCGTTTTGGCGCGCCAAAAACTGAAAATCACGCCAAACGCCAGCACGCCAAAATCGGCCAAAAATCACGCCAAAACGCCAAAACGTCACGCCAAAACGCCATGACGCACATCACTGATCGGGAGGCCAAAAACTCGGGAAATTTTCCCGAGTCGGGAGTCGGGATCGGGATACCCGAACATCACTAAAATGTCCCTCTATTTACTCATTTTGACACTAATTCGCAAACTTTTTGGAATTTTTTTAAAAAATTTTTTCAAATACGAGACCGGATCAGTGTCCAAAAAATCGAGATTTTCGGTCTGGGATGGAAAAAATTCACAAATCCCGAAACGGGACCGGAATTACAAATTCCGAACTCTAATTTTAAGTAAAATATGGATGTGGGGTATGCTATGACGATAATTGCATTAGTTGTGCGGTAGACAAATGTAGATCTATTATTCATAAACGTCATACATGTTTGGCTGATCATAATGTACCTGAGGCCTTAGAAGTATGTAAGAATGGTGTTGATACATGCTTTGTAACATTTTGGGAATATACTCATTGTTTGTTTCAATTTTAGTGTGTAAAATAATATTTAAATGCCAAATAGTGAAAAATGTTAAGATTTATATAAAAAATCCACAAGAAAAACACAAAAAATTAAATTTGATGGTAGTCGTTCAAAATAATGAAAACAATTTCTTTAATTTACATTTATTTCATTATGGCATTTGGTTATAACGTGATAAATTTATAACCGTGACAATTTTATATATTTACAGCTAATAGATACTGGGGCGGATGTGGCAAATGTCAACCAAATAGACAATGTTATCATTGCAAAGGCAAAAACTGTAATACAGTAGAAAAATACAAAGAAGCATTTTATTGTTATATAAGACCTAGAGAATTGGGTTTAAAAATTGGAAATGTATGCGAAGAAAGAATTTGTTACATATACATTGATGATAAAGGTAAAATATATGTATAATACATACTTTTGAGTACTCTTTATAAAAACACTACTTCATAAAAATCATAAACTTTGAATCCTATTACTAGTTTAAATCTTGCTTATACGTCATTTGAGCTAATAAACAGTGATGTCAAGTTCCACCAGTTCCGGAACTAATTAGTTCTAGTTCCAGTTCCGGAACTAGAACTACGGAACTAACGATTATCTGGAACTAGTTTGGAACTAGAACTACGCAACTAGTGAATGCCTGGAACTAGCTTGGAACTGGAACTACGGAACTAGTAAATGTCTGGAACTAGCTTGGAACTGGAACTACGGAACTAGTAAATGTCTGGAACTAGCTTTGGAACTAGTTCTGGAACTAGTTCTTAGGGTAATTTTTGACAAAATTTTGTCGACGAGGTTTACGTGATTTTTAATATTGTTGTCTATCATGTAAAAATTTTTTATGTAAAAATCCCGAAATCCCGCAGGATCCCGCTAAATTTTAGAACGGAAATTTAAAAACTTAAACTAGTACTATCTTGGAACTAGTTCCAGAACTTGAACTAAGGAATTTCAAAAATGTGGTTCCGGAATTGGAACTGGAACTACAAAAATTAAAAATCTGGTTCTGGAACTGGAACTACAAAAAGTTAAAACCTAGTTTAGGAACTGGGCCAAGTTCCAGAGAAATTTTGGAACTTAGACATCACTGGTGGTAAAAATGCCGTCGTTAGTACGGTATGGCCTGATCGCTACTTTAAACCAAGGTACTGAAAATTATGGTTGCGGTAAATGCCCCAAAGGAGATTTTATATGCTATGACTGCAACACCAAAGAATGCAATACGAGGGATAATTACGATAAAGCATTCAAATGCTTTGAGAGTAATGCAAAATTGACAAGTACAAGAGGAGTTGGATGCAAAAATAATAAATGTTATTTAGCATTTAACATTAAAGGTTATAATGATTTGAAAATTCTATCAAAAATTTATATTTAAAGAGGGTGATTCGAAAGTAATATTTGAAAAACATACAAAACAAGGTTGTGGAGATTGTCCTAAAGTAGAAGGGCAATGCATGACTTGCACCCAAAATTTATGCAATTATAAAAATTTTAACAGTCAATTTTATGGATGTTTTAGTACTTCTGATAGACAAAATACTTTTATATGCCCTCCGGGTGGATTTAAATGTTACTATAAAGAAAATGTAAATGCAATGAATTTGAGGAAATCTGTTTATTTTTTAAGAAACAAACATCTATTGGTGGTTGTGGAAAATGTGAAGGGGATTTTGACTGTTTTGACTGCAATACAGATAGTTGTAATACCAAAGAAAATTTCGATAAAGCATTCAGATGTTATGAAAGTAATGGGAAATTAACATCGACGAATGCTAGAGAGTGTGCCAAGAAAAAATGTTATATAGTAGATTCTGATATTAAAGGTTCTAATTCTTTATCTACATATAAAAAATGGACGTTCCTAAGTTTTTACAATGATAAACAAAAAGTGCCTCTTTGAGGTGTCGTGTTATAAGCAGAGTCGCAAATGTCGCAATGCTGAGTGAACTCCGCGGAGTTTCTTGTGGTAGATGGGTAGCTTACAATCCATATGTCCGCAAAAGGCGTTATGCAAAAAGGCATTTTCTCTGCTTTCAACTCCTTTCTTTTAGTTTCCATCAGTAATCAAATGATTGGTTGCCAGTTTGTCACTCATAGTAAATGAAACATTAAGTTTTATGCGTCCAATCAAATGTTTTGCGTCCAATCAAAAACAATTGGTTTTTCTTAGTTGTGGTATGCTACCAAAACATTTCTTCATGTTCGGGACCTACGCACACTGGTTCGGACCATTTCATGCACCATCCCTCGAAATTTCAGAAAGTTATAGCCAATTTTTAAAATTTTCGGAAAAACAATTATAACTTTCCGAAATTTCGAGTGATAGGGTAAGGAATGGTTACAGACCCAGTGGGCGTGATTTTGGAATCATACCCCAACTTTGCAATACCCAGAAAAATTCAATTATTTTTTGATTAAACTCATAAACTTTCGTTGGACGCATAAACTTTTATTGGTTGCATAAAAGTCGATTGGACGCATAAACTTGAGTAGAGCCGCAAGATTTTATTAATTAACTTTTTTCTAAGTGATGTTTAATTCCGAATAGTAGCTGTGAGGCTTGCAAATTAAGACCTAGGACTTTGCAGATTAAGACTTAGTATCCTTTCTTGTGATAAATGGGTAGCCGTAAGAAAGTCCAATAAAATTTTATACATTTTGTTTATTAGGACTTTGTATTTTCAAAATATTAGTCTTTTAGCTGAACAAGGCTGTGGAGATTCACCTAAAGAAGTCATGGATATTCCAGCTGCTGTTTGTGAAAAGTCGCTGTGCAATACTAAAGAATTATTTAAAAACAACCTTTTTTGTCTGTCATTGAATGAAGGAAAAATAACGAATAAAATATCAAAGATTAGTAAACCGTGCCATGAAGAATGTTATGTTCTACGCAGCGATTATTTATGTTTGTTATTTAAGGAATGCGTCGCTGCCTGCGCGGGATTGTACTATAATATGCATGAAAATGCCTAAATATTAACCACGTCCAGCGAGTCATGAAAACAATAATTATATACAAAGGGTGATGTAAGGAAAATAAAGACCAGCCAGCTAGCACATAAAATGCATATTTTAAAATCTAATCAAAGAGAAGGTTTTAGCATTGTCTTGGTAGCTCTGTCGGTAGAGCAGCTGTACGTGGTTAACAAAAGAGCCTAGAAATAATGACCAGTAGGTCGCAGGATCGATGCCTGCGCGGGATTTATTTCATCTAGTTAACATTTTTTAATTTTAGATCTAGGTTGCGGGAAATGCAAACAAGAATACTGTACAAGTTGCAAGACAAATTTCTGTAATGTAGAAGAAAGGGGGTACAAAAAGTGCTATACAAATACTAAAAATATGTGTTATGCAAAATTTAATGAAACTTGCTTTACGGAGAGAATGAAAAATAATGAAGGTTGAAATTTTAAGAAAATTTTGAGGAGAAAATTGAGAAAGGGAAGAGTGAGAGTGTGAGTAAATAATTCAGAAATTTTAAGAAAATCGTGGTTTATGAGACAAACCCCAGGAAAATTTCATAATGGATCCATTCCTTACCGATCTTCAGTATTTACTTAATAATTTTGTTATTAATTATTAATGTTTTTTCTATTTTCAAGTCAACAAAGGTTGTGGGACTTGTCCATCTAAAACTTGCATTACTTGCAATAAACACGAGTGTAATGATGGAAAAGATTTGCCTTATTATTGCCTGGATTACGATGGAAGAAGCCCGATTGAATGTAAAAAATCGGATTGCTATATCGATAAATGTAGGTTGATCTTGGATGTTGAAAGGGGGATCTTGATTTTTGAGATTATAATCATATATTTAGATGACATTTCGGAGTTTGCAGGATAAACCTTTATAAATTCAGGGTTTTCGAAAATTTCGCGGGGCTAGATTAGAAGAGCCCATAATCTTGTACTCTAAATAACAAGGAATGGGCATTTAATTTATGTATATCCGAAATGGTGATTTATTTTTTAATTTTCTCTTGTAAAATCACACCCTACTTTAATTATGACAATTCTCGATAATTTTATATTAAGATTTTAAAACTGGTTGTGGATCTTGTGATGGAAACAAAATTAATGTATCCTGTGTTGATTGTAGAGATTTTAAATGCAATTCTCGAATTAAACTGGAAGAGACTGTATTTTGTTATGAAAGAGAAGAAAATGGAAAGGAGAATGAAGGGAGTAGGCCTTGCTACGAGAAACTTTGTTATATTTCTGTTGACCTTTTTAAAGGTAACTAAGAATTTTTTTGAAATATCCTTACATTCCTAATACATATTCGAAACCTTAATTGTGTGATACAGCTTAAATCATCACCCAGCCAAGATAATAACAAACACTTATTCGCGAATTTTCCACCATGATATTTTATTTTTCGAGTCTCAGTTTTAGGTCTTTTCATGGTCTCATTTTTATGAAATTTCAATCCGTTTATTTATATGGACCATAAATGAATCTAAATTTCAGGAGTACCTGAAGATGCAGCTTTAAAAAACTACACCCGACAAGGCTGTGGCAATTGCCCTTCAAACACATCCATTCCTTGCCAAACATGCAACACTACACTATGTAACTCAGAAAAACTGTTTAATGAAAGTGTTTATTGTTGGACAAAGGAAAACACCACAGAGCCAAATTCATTTAAATATTGTAAAGAAGGGGAATGTTTTACAAGTCGAGACTTGAATGGAAAATGTTTGATAATTGTTCATTCTCTAAGAAAAAAATTATTTTTAGTGGAGCAAGGATGTGGAAAATGTAAAGAGAAGGATTGTAGAAATTGCAAACAGAAATTCTGTAATACTAAAGAGATTGGGGTTAAGCATTGTTGGACTAATAATGGTTCGAGTTGTTCAACTGGATATTATGAAAATTGTTTCACTGAAAGAACAGAGACAAATGAATGTAAAACAAATATTAATTGAGCCAATATTTTATAAAATTTTGGTTTTAAAGTAAATAAGGGTTGTGGGAATTGTACTTCTCCAACATGCAAAACATGCACTGGCCATCGTTGTAATGATGGAAAAAATTTCCCCTATTATTGCTTAAATTCTGATGGAACTAGCTTGTTGGAATGTCCATCTCCTAACTGTTATATTGATAAAAGTAACAGCCTGGGCAAGTATGAATAACGATAAATTAATTTTAGAGTTTAATGCTGGTTGTGGGTCTTGTGAAGGGAATAAAATTGACATATCTTGTGTAGATTGTAGCGATTTCAAATGCAATTCCAGAAATAAATTAAATGAGACTGTATATTTTGTTATGAAAAAAAAGAAAATGGACAGGAGAGAGAAGGGAGCAAGCCTTGTTTCGAGAAAAAGTGTTTTATCTCAGCTGACACTACTAAAGGTAATAACAATGATTTCAAATACCCCAATGCATTTAAGGAGAGTCTGAGGGAGATTTGAAGAAATATACTTCACAAGGCTGTGGCAAATGCCCTTCTCAAGCTATTCCATGCCAAACTTGCAATTCTACACTTTGTAACAACGAAACGTTGTTTAAGGACAGTAATTATTGTTGGGCTGAAGATAATGAAATCATTCAATGCAAAATTTCTGAATACGGAAATGTTTGTTACTATGCTGTCATCAATGATAGTAAAGGTATAGAAGGATTTATTGTTGTAACGAAGGGTTAGGGTTGTTCGATACCCAGCACGATTCCACAGATACCGCTAATGGTTTATGCACCGTTTTATCGATAATGTACAAATGGTATTTAATATCACACGAGATCAGCCACAAATCTTATACTAAACAGAAATACTATATTTGGAATAATTTTAGTTGAACAAGGCTGTGGTGATAAAACTTCATGGACTGAAGATAATGTTCTGGCAGCCAAGTGCCAAAATAAACACCTCTGCAATACTAAAAAATTGTTTAATGAAAGCCTATTTTGTTTAAATAAAGAAAAAAATAACTTGGTTGTATCCAAAAGGTCTCTAAAACAATGTGAGGAAGAATGCTTCTTTCAAAGACACTCGGATGGGAGAAGTGAGAGATCTAAAATTCAAGAATAAAATTAATTTTTAGTGGAACAAGGATGTGGGAAATGCACAGAAGCTGATTGCAAGAATTGCAAACAGAATTTTTGTAACCACAGAACAATCGGGGTTAAACATTGTTGGACTAATAATGGTTCAACCTGTTCAACTGGATATTCTCGAAATTGTTTTACAGAGAGAACTAGCACAAATGAATGTAAAATAATTTAATAAGATTTGAAATTTTTGTTTTAAAGTAAATAAGGGTTGTGGGAATTGTACTTCTCCAACATGTAAAACATGTACTCAACATCGTTGTAATGATGGAAATAAATTTCCCTATTATTGCTTTGGTTCTGATGGAAAGATTTTGTTGGAATGCCCAAATCCTGACTGTTATATTGACAAAGGTATTTGCGGGATACATTCGAACATAACTTTGTGAACACCTCTGGTGCTAAAAAGTCGTTCTGATAATGAGAGTTGGCATAAATCGGAAGCTCTCAAATCAATTACCAACCAACTTAATAGAAAATGTATTTAAATTCGTATCTTCGCCGGTCTCTGACACTCTAAATAAGAGTCTCTCTAACTAAATTTAAGAAAATTTTTCTTTGGTCCGTTCCAGATAGTATTCCAGAATTTGGTTATATGATTCAATCTCTCCGCCTAAAATACATCTATACATATTTAAAGATTTTAATGCCGGTTGCGGGACCTGTGACGAGAACAAAATTAACGTATCTTGTGTTGATTGTCGTGACTTGAAATGCAATTCTAGAAACAAGCAAAACATGACAATATTCTGCTTTGAGAGGGAGGAATTTGGGGAAGAAATATCGGGGCAAAGGCAATGTGATAAAAAGATGTGTTATATTAATGTGGATATTTTGAAAGGTCGGTTGTTCCCTCAGAGTAATGCATTATTTAAAATTCAGCAAAATCCGAAGAATCGGCTTTCGAAAAATTCACTAAACAAGGATGTGGAAATTGCCCTGATAATTTTATTACGTGCAGAACTTGCAACAGCAAGGACTGTAACACTCAGCAATTTTTTAAGGACAGACATTTTTGCTGGATTTCGGAAAACTCGACTGAACAATGCAGTGTTTCAGAACACAAAAGGATTTGTTATTATGCTGTCCTTAATGATAATATAGGTATAAAAGTTGTGTTATAATGAAGAGTCCCATGGACAGGATTTCAATTAAATATGGCTTGGGCGGAAAATGTAGTGGCACAATTCCTCGTTAGACTGTGGAGGAGGGACAGGAATAAATTGGGACAATCCAGAAGACAAATCCACCAAACACAATTAAATACAAATTAAATAGTTATTATAAATAAGTGCGAGTAATAAAGAGAGAGAAAAGGTGATCAATTGAGTTGTTAGGAGCTGACTTCCAACTAGTCAGGCCCGATTGAAAAAAATTATTTTGTGCGCAAACGCAAATAGCCTTACTTATAACAAACTCTAAAACCCAGTTTATGTATTTAGTTGAACAAGGATGTGGTAATAAAACATGGAATGAATCGAATGTACGGGCAGCAAAGTGCCAAAATGTACACCTCTGCAATACTAAAAAATTGTTCGATGAGAGCCTATTTTGTTTAAATAAAGGAAAAGATGAGTTGAATGAAACAAAAAGTTCCGTTATCCAATGTGATAATGAATGTTTTACTAGACGATATTTGGATGGAAAATGTTTGTTTTTTCATGTTTAGACAAGAAATAGTTCCTTTTTTTGTAGTGGAGCAAGGTTGTGGGAATTGCACAGATGTCAATTGCAAAAGTTGCAAAATAAATTTTTGTAATACTAAAGAGATTGGGATGAAACATTGTTGGACTAATAATGGGTCGACTTGTTCGACTGGATATTATGAAAATTGTTATACAGAGAGGATAGAAACAAATGAATGTAAAATAACTAAATAAGATTTGTATTTCTTGTTTTTAAGTACATAAGAGTTGTGGGAATTGTACTTCCCCAACATGCAAAACATGCACTGGCCATCGCTGTAATGATGGAGATCATTTTCCCTATTATTGCTTAAATTCTGATGGTCAGAGTTTGTTAGAATGCCCATCTCCTAACTGTTACATTGATAAAGGTCTGTAATAGGGCTAAAATGATCACATGCTCTTAGATTTAAATGCTGGTTGCGGTACTTGTGATGGAAATAAAATTGACATATCTTGTGTTGATTGTAGCGGCTTCAAATGCAATTCTAGAAATAAACTAGAAAAAACTGTATTTTGTTATGAAAGAGAAGAAAATGGAAAAGAGATTGAAGGCTCTAGACCTTGCGTTGATAAAACATGTTTTATTTCGAGTGACCTTCTAAAAGGTAATTACATCATTCAGCATGTTATTAACACAGCTCTAAGTGTAACTTGTCTAAAATATTTTGAAATTTAAGGAGAAACCGGAGAAATCTCCTTGAAAAAATACACTAAACAAGGCTGTGGGCTATGTATTTCAACCAGCATTCCATGCCGAATATGTAACACAACTCTTTGCAATTCAGAAAAGTTTTTTAAACAAGTTAATTATTGCTGGGGCAAAGAAAATTTTGTTGAGCAATGTGATATGGGTAAATATGGTCTAAATTGTTATTATGCTTCAGACTTTGATAATAAAGGTAGATAAATAGATTTGGCACTTGAGCCGTGATGAAGGTTATTTCCATCAACACCTGATTTATTCTGTTAGTATCGGGCACATCGAAAGTCGATATCTAACACATAATATATTAAAAACAATTTATACATAATCATAATTTACAGTCGATCAAGGCTGTGGAGATCTACCACAAGAATTTAATGATACAGCCTATGCTAAATGTAACAGGCCTCTTTGCAACACAAAAGATTTATTTGACAAAACTTTGTTTTGTTTAAACAAAAGAAAAGAAGAGATTGAGTCAAAAAAGGGTATTAAACAATGCAACCAGAAATGTTTTGTTCACAGACATTCTGATGGAAAATGTTTGTTTTTAATTTAAAGAATATTATCCCTCCACACCTCGATTTGCTTTTAATGTTAGACTCGGGTTAGATGCCTTTAAGTGGTCAATTTGCCTTTAATGTAGTCACTAAGACGCTAAGATAGCTTGAATTCACTGAAACCCTACACACTCAATGCTTATTGATACTGAACCTACTGTATTTCGATAAGCACAACATTTTACTTTGATTTAATTTGTATGCTTGACCTGTGGATATGGAGTGATTAAGTAGTAACTCGAGATATCGAAAGATTAAGGGGATATCAGTTTTCTACTGGAGTGAAAGCATTCATAAATCACTCCTATAAGCTTACTTGTAAAGTCTCAGAAAAAGCCATTGGCTTTCTTCCAACAAATTTAAGAAATCATTAATAATACTCTTCTTATGCTTTCATAATTCGCTTAATTCCTTCAAAAAAAATTTCAGTAGAACAAGGTTGTGGGATATGCCCCAAAAATGTTGCTACAACTGATTGTTTTACATGTAACGAAAAATATTGTAACGAAGAAAAACATGTTGATATGCATTGCTGGTTAAACGATAAAGAAATATGTAAAACTCCATCCACTAGCAATTGTTTTACTGAGAGAACAGAAGATAATAAATGTCTTTAATTAATTATTTTACTTTAATAAATAAAATTATTTAAAGTAAAAAAAGGTTGTGGCCATTGTGCTTCTTCAACATGCAACAAATGCTACACACATCGCTGCAACAATGAAAAAGATTATGACTATTTTTGTAGGAGGAAAAGTGGTTTTGATAATATTTGCAAGAATTCGAGCTGTTATATTGCTAATTTAGAAGAAATGGATAAAGGTATACGATAAAAATACAAATGTCATACTCTAAATAGTATATCCACTATTAAATTGAAAGTGACTGATCAGTGTCTGGTTTGGGGTCTTTCTGAGATGATTTTATTCCATTACCCATTAATTAATAATTAATATAATAGATTAATTAATATAATTAATTAATTAATATAATTAATATAATTAATTAATATAATATATTAATTTAATTGAATATAATATCAATTAATATAATACATTAATTAATATAATATATATAATAATAATAATCCATTGTAAATTTGTAACAATCCGCCGTCCAAACTTCCTGGAACTTTTAAAATATCGAGCATACATGAGCCAAAATCTTATAACACTCTATCATTTATACGAGGGCATCACTTCTCTTATATAAACTTTTATGAAACGCTGATTTACAAATTACTAATATAGGCAATTATGATTGGGATTGTGGAAATTGCCCAAATGTCCAAACCCATCCATTTAAATGTGCAAAATGCAATAATAGTCCTTTTTGCAATACTGTAGAGTTTTACAATAATGCTTTGTTTTGTTGGAATAAGACTGTGGAAATGGCTATACCAATTAGTGATTTGAGAAATTGTGAAAGTCAATGTTTTGTTGCGAGAGATGAAGACGGGAAAGGTTCGTTCAGAAGAAGAAAGTACTGAAGAGCCTTACAATAAAATACACCTAGTCAGGCTAATACTAGATGCCTTTTTCTATTATTTTCAGTAACTCATGGCTATGGGACACTCATTTAAGATAACCCCTTGTCACTATGATTTATGATAACCTAATCATGGGTTATAATGTCAAATCATGTAATATATACTAGCGACCTGACTGAGAGACCTGGATGTCAACTCTCAAAAGTGATCGAACGAGATTGTTTAGAAATTTATCGAAATCTTCTAACGGAACTTTTTGTTAAGACTTGTCTTTCTCCGATCTCTATTATCTATAGATGGTAACTTTAAATATCATAAATTTTCAGTAACTCAAGGCTGTGGGATTTGCCCAACAAATTCTAAAAGTACAGACTGCGTAAATTGCAATGAGAGGTACTGTAATGAGGAACGACTTGTTCCCAAACAATGCTGGATAAATGATGAGGAAATATGCAAAACTGAATATGATACTCCTTGCTTTACTGAAAGAACCTTGGCTAATCAGAGTCTTTAAATTGTTTTTAAGATTTTCAAAAAAAAATTTTTTTTCAAGTTAACAAAGGTTGTGGTAAATGTTCAAATCCTTCAACATGTAAACAATGCAAAGATAATCGCTGTAATTCTGAGAAAGAGTTCCCTTATTTTTGTAAAGGTGTTGATGGAGATAAGGAATGCCCAGAACCCGATTGTTTTATTTCGAAAGGTAGATGGAAGATTTAGTGTTTAGTTAGATCAGACATCTATTATCAGATAACAACCAAAATTCCTTCGTATATAACTGTGGAAAATGTCCTCAATCTTCCTCTGACCTTCCCTCCAACGGTATTCAATGCGCAAAATGCAAAAACAGTCCGTTTTGTAATACACCAAAATTCTTCGAAGAACAATTGTTTTGTTGGGAAAGTTCAAATACTGACAAAATGGGAATGGTAAAAGGAGCGAGAGTTTGCGAGAGTAAATGCTTTGTATCTCGTGATTCAATTAATGGGCAATGTAAGAATAAAAAATCTTTTTAATAAATGGATAGGATAGAGGTCAGTCACATCAAAAGGGACGTTAGTTCATCGACGAAGATGCAAGGGTGTCACTCATATCTCTCTCAACTCCCTCTCCCATATCCGTGGAAAGTCATCTGACCGTGAAAGTCGGACCCGTAATAATCTGCCAGAAATATTGATTGGGATTAGAGAATGATATCTTATGGAAACTTTTATTTGTTGACTCGTTCTCGTATCTTTCCGTTATCTTGTTTAAATTTGGTCAATTAAACCCTTAAATTTTTAAAGTAAATTTTGGCTGTGGTGAATGTGACGACCCTAAACATGACTGCAAAACCTGTACAGAAAAGTATTGTAACGAGGAACGACTTGTTCCCAAACATTGCTGGATAAATTATAAAGAAATTTGTAAAACAGATTTTGATATCCCCTGTCATATGGAAAGAATTTCGATAAACGAAAGTAAAAAATCTTCTTAATTTAAAAATAATTTTGAGAAATTAAAGCAAGAAAAGGCTGTGGAGACTGTGAAACTAAAGCCTGCAGAAAATGCTTAACTCATCTTTGTAATGATTGGGAGGATACCCCTTACTATTGTTATAGTAATCAAGGAACTGATGGTGTTAGTGAATGTAGCGATCCCGACTGCTACATTTTGAAGTTGACAAATAAAAAAGGTAATGAATTTGAGGAAATGGAAGGGTATTGAAAATAGCTTAATGAGTAGGGATCGGATTTTATGTCGTAAAAACCTTGAAATAGGTACTAAACAAGTTGTATAAAATGCTAAAATAGGTGACAAATATAGGCAAATAGGTTGTAAAAATAAAAGGGAAAAAGTTGAAGAATAAAAAATGTAATAATTGGGAGGAAATGGAATGGTAGACGAAGAAAAAAGTGTCTAAAAGTTATACTTTTACACTATGACCAACAAAAGTTCCAAAGAAAAGGTCTGTTGAAACACAATCGTTACCTATATGTACTACTCACAATAATATTTACAATAAATTTATCATTCTTCAGATAATAAAAAGGAATACTATCAAAATTGTGGAAAATGTCCGAAAACACGGTCATCGTTAATTGGAACATTAGACGACTTACTTAGGGAAAGATTGAAAGAAAATTATAATGATGAATTTCAATGCGCAGACTGTAATAATGGGATATTATGCAACACGGAAAAGTTTATAGAGGAGAAATTATTTTGTTTGGAGAGGTCACTTAACGACTCGATATTTGTCAAGGGGGCTAGTGTATGTGAAGAGCAATGTTTTGTATCAAGAGATAATTCAACAGGATATGGTAGTTGTTTAAATTAAGTTGCTAGATTTAAATAGTAACAGAAATAGCTCCTGGTATTATTATCAATAATTAGGGACCGGATTTTTAGGTTGTAAAAACGTTAAAATAGGTACCTAAATAGGTTGTAAAAAATGCTAAAATAGGTGACAAAAACTCCAAAATAGGTGACAAAAATGAAAAATAGGTCGCAAAAAAATGTCGAAATATGGAGCAAAAAATGCGAAAAGTCTGAATATTTTATATTCCGCACATAAATTTTATTGTTGTAATAAAAATTGTAAAATATTCTATTGTTTAAATTTTCACTGGGAGATAATTATTTAAAAATTTTTTTTTTAATTTTGAAAAAAATATTTTCCCAAAAATTGAAAAAAAATTTGGATGATAAGAAAAATTGACAAAATTTTTGAAAAATTGCAAGTTTTTTCGAAAAATTTTGAAAATTTTTGGTAAAAAATCATATTTTCCTTAAAAATATCTAAAATAGGTGACAAAAACGCAAAAATTTTCAAAATAGGTTACAACCTATTTTAGGTTTCAAAACGCCAAAATAGGTTCCAATAGGTGATAAAAAGTCCGCTAAACAAAAGATTTTCAAAAAATAACAACGGATTTGAGCTCAATTCATCATAACTATTTCGCAGAAAAAATATCAATAATATATAGAAAAGCTTAGGATATCTGAAACCGAACCAAAAACCCCCTCGTTCTTCTTTTTGAATTAGAATTACCAATAGTATTCCTGAAGTTCAAAGACTGCGGTTTGCAGATTCGGCTATACATCGAATTTCTAGTTGGAGTAGAATTAGATATAATGAGCTATCCGAACATTTTGATTTAATACCGATCCATTACTGAGACAAAAGTCAGATGGGGTTTTACGTCATAAAAACACTTGTGATACACAAAACCCACTCTCACAAGATCTCTAATTCTTATTCTTACAGTAACACAAGGATGTGGATCATGCTCAACAAACGACACCACCGAATGTCTTGAATGCAAAGAGGTTTACTGTAACGAGGAAAGTAAAGTATACAAACATTGCTTGACCGATAATGATGGGATATGTAAAACACCTTTTGATGCTCCTTGCTATTTATGGAGAACTCCAACAAACGGGGGTTTTGAATAAATTTTGAATAATTAAATAAAAATACTTTTTAAATTTTAAAGTCAAAAAAGGGTGTGGAATATGTCCTTTTTTCACTTGTAAAGAATGTAATACACATCGTTGTAATGTAGAAGCAGAATTGCCATTTTATTGCTTTGGATTTATGGCTAGTTATAAAGAATGTAGTGAATCTATATGTTATATTGCTAAAATTGAGGAGAAAATTGGAGGTGTTTTATTTCTTAGATTAAGGCTGATATTCTAGTATCGGATTAAAAATATGTTGAAGTAAAATTATTAATCCAATGAAATCTTACAAGTCCGAAGAATATCATTTTATTTATGTATTTATTATGAATGGGATGTAGGCTCTCCTCCGACTCCCACAGGACCCTGATTCATCTTTCTTGACCCAGCCTTTGCGCATTTACGTAAATCGAGTTTCATTCTCGATTAAAGGATGAAAACTTAAGTAATAAAAATTTCTCAAAAATATATTTAAGACAAGAAAATTCAACAGTACCACTATGATTGTGGAAATTGCCCCTCTGATATTCTCGATTTGTCACCATACATCAAAACTAAGGAAACAACCTTCCTAAATAAATTTAAAAATCTTGATATGTCCAGAATGCAATGTGCAGAATGTAGCAACAGTCCAGCTTGTAACGCTGATACATATTTTGAGAAACAATTGTTTTGTTGGGAGAAGGATGTTAAAAAGTGGACTCCAACCAACGGGAGGAGGGTTTGTGGAGAATCGTGTTTTATTGGAGTTGACGCGATTGAAATGGGTAAATTTTTATATTGGAATGAAAAGGATGAAATAGTTGGGTCTTAATGTTCGATACTCCATATCACCGAAATTTTGCTCATATAATGAGGAGTACATACTCAATATGAGGAGTATATTGAGTATGTATACTCAATAGCCATTTAGATTCAAATGAACGTATTTTAAATTGTGTATTTTATACTGTATTTCCACATTATTAGACATTTTTACATATTTATAGGCTTTGTGCAAGGCTGTGGTAGCTGCCCTTCTCATTTGGAAAAATGCGCGACTTGTAATACCCCTTATTGCAACGACAAAAATATACTTCCAACTATAAAATGTCACTACAACATTCCTAAAACTAAGCCTTATAAGAAAAAAGTGAAAAAATGTCACCCTATGTATACTCATTGCTATATTGCTAAGGATAAATTTGGAAGAGGTAATAATTTGAATTTTTGGTTCTATCCTTTAATCCTCAAAAAGATTTTATACTAAATAGATGGTATTTTTTTAGGTTTTAACTTGATAGTGTGGTTTTAATGCTGAATATGTCAAAATTATTTCTCAAGTTGAAAATCCATCGGCCTACATAAGTTTGTTCCTGTCCTCGAGTGACGAAGTTTGGGATTTTAATTGCAAATTCATCCCCCCCCCCCCCCCCCTTCGTGTAATTTCTCCTGATCCCGCCATTCTACTCAATCGGGACTCTAATAAATTATCTATTTTCCTCTCACGCTATCTCATGCCCACCTCAATAATTACCAAATATTTACTAATTGAAATATAATTATTCGTTAAAATGTTATTATTAGCCTTACTAAAATATTTACGAATAATTAACTCCTCTTCATTAATTTCTCCTATCAGCGGTGCGTTTAAAATACAATTAGCTAGGATAATTATTTCAGCATTTACTGTAAACAATAATAATGATAAAATCTGCTTGAGAGTTTAAAAATAATTATCCGTTAAAATGTTATCCGTTAATAATAAAATAATTATCCGTTAATAATTATCCGTTAATTTAATTTTAAAATTTAAGTGGAGCAAAATTGTGGCTTGTGCCCTTCAGAATACAAAAGTTGTTTAAGTTGTACTGACAAGGATTTGTGCAATACTGAAAAGGCTTTTAAGGATTCAATAATATTTTAGACATTAAAAACAGACTTAATTAATTTTTAAAGTATACATATTGTGTTGTGTTTAACTTAATAAAAATTTAATTTTTATATATATAAAATTTAATTTTTATAAAATAATTTTTAAATATGAATTTTAAATATGAGTATATAAAATTTTATTTTTGATAAAATAATTTTTGAATATGAGATCCAGAATTTTGAGATCCAGAAAACTTCCCTCAATCCATTTTATTACCTAAATCCCTTTATCTCTGATAAACTTATATCGCTTATCCATTAATCAATTAAGAATCTCTCGTACATTTAATTTACGAAACCCGAAAATCGGGAATTTGGTTTTCTCTCGGCGTGATTAACAACTCAATAAACAAAAGGAACGAACAGGAGAAACCCTTCTCTTTTTGCATTTTCTTAAGTCTGTAACTTTGTCCCTAGTTATCGGATCAACTTACATTTACAATAAATCGAAAAAACAAGCCCCATTTAAAACGGTCCGACAAAAAAAAGAATTAAACAAAACAGATGGGATCAATAGGCAATTTAATTTTTCTTAACAAAAATTTTAACTTAATGGAGTGTTTAAAAATTTAAAAAAATATTACTTATAAAATTATTGTATTCATATTCTGAAGGATTTTTTGTCAAGAAAATGTTTTTTTTGTGAATTTGCCTTCGTATATACTAGAGTTGGACAAGCCGAGACCGAGACCGATACCGAGATTCTCGGCTTTTTTCCAATATCAGTCTCGGTTTTTTCATTCTCGGTCTCGAAACCGATACCGATATTCTCGGTCCATTTCTCGGCGAGAAACGATACTGACTCAAAGACCCCAATTTTCTTGTATTTTTTAATAAAACTGAGGATTTTTGACCTTTGGCCTTCTGAATTTCAAAAAATTTTCGCCTGCGGCGCTGAAAAGAGTGAATCCTTCTTTATTTGCCTTACAAAATCCGAGCATTTCACTAAGCCCTCACGATTGAGTTCGTACGACTGAGTTGCTCTTTTATCTAGCTCAACTGAGACCCAGTAATTTAATAAAATTAAAAGGCTTAAATACAATACTTGGTTATTTGGAGCAGACGTGGGCGAAACGTTTTTCAACGAAACGAAACAATTTGTGATTTTTCAACGAAACGAAACAATTTTTTAAGCCTAAACTAAGGCCAAAATCTATAAAATTTACCATCTTTTATTGAAAATTTAAAAAATTTTCGCCTGCGGCGCTGAAAAAAAAAAAGAATTTCGGCTTCTTGGCTTTCCCAAATTGTCAAAATTTTCGCCTGCGGCGCTGAAAAAGGAAGATAGCAATTACTTATATATACAAATCCGTTTATACTCCACTCCCTAATCCACATATACATATTACTTAATCGACGACAAATTCTATTACAGGACTCGCATCATAATTTAAAAATTGCGGATTGCGAGTTGCGGAAATACTGGAACCGGAACTTCCGGTGCTTAAAATAAAATTTCTGCGGTGCTATTTTCTGCGGTGCTTAAAATAAAATTTCACTTGAAAAATATTCAATTTTATTTGAAAAAAAGCGTCGCCAAAAATTCGGCTTCGAAAATGATTGACCCCCTCCTTCCCCGAAAATTTTCATTGCTACGGGCCTGGCTTATGGGACACAATTGTTGTAAATAAACCAATAACTAAATCATTTATAAGTCATAGGCGACTAATAAAGTATTTGAGGTCGAATAATTTCGAAATAAATGTAGTTTTGAAAATTTTTTGAATATTAAAATGTTTCGTTTTGTTTCGTTTCGTTTCGTAAGATTTTGGTTGTTTCGTTTCGTTTCGTTAACGAAACGATTTTTAAAAAATTTTGTTTCGTTTCGTTTCGTCAGAAAAAAATTTTGAGTTTCGCCCAGGTCTGATTTGGAGGGATTTGGGTGTTTATGGGGATATCAATGGATTTGGAGGGATATCGAATGTAAGGCGGTAGGATATCGAATGTAATCGAATGTAATATACTTTTGGAACAGAGTGTATAATCCTTTTACCTATAAATCCTACTATTGTATTTTTTATAAAAAAGGATGTTAACCATCAATCGAATCGGATCCAGATGATGAAGAGTATTTATCTGATGATTTGGATGATGAAAATAATGAATAAATTATTTTTATTAGTATATACTATATGTATACTAATAGGAGGCGAAAAAGGATTAATTAATTTATTTGTTGAGGGAATATTTTAAATTTTAATAAAGGGTAAATGTAAATTTCACAGAAGGCTAAATTAGTTTATTGGATTGCCTAAAATTTAATTCCTTTTAAATTACTCACTTTTTTAAAAATTAAATGAGATTTTAAATTATAATGAAAGAATTAATTTTCGCTTTTCCCATTTTTAGTCAATTTAATTAAAAATGTCAAAAATAAAATATAAACTTTAAAGTTTTATCAACTTTTTAGGCCAACATTAATCGTTTGCTTTTTAATTTTTATTCGGCAATTCCAAGGCTGGTCCCCCCTTTTTTTCCTTTCTATTTTTTCGATTTTTTAAACTTTTTATGGCAAATTATATATTGTTCGAAAGAGCTCTTCGAGCTGAGTCGAATGGTACTAAATTCTTCGAAATCCAACTTAAATAAACATAGTTATGACCATTTGTTTTAATCCCTTTCAACAACACAAAAAGCATGTCCATCGAGGATTTAGCTTCATAATTCTGCTCAGAATCTCCAAATCGAAACGATCATAGTATCATTCTACTCAGCTTGAACAGCTCTTCCAAATGATATTTGTAAATTATACATATGTCAAGCAAAAAAGCTCAAAATGGTCAGGCGGATAGAAAAAAAGGGGGACCAGCCTTGGAATTACCTTTTATTCTTTTATAATTCTACTGAAATATATTTGTGTACTAACCAAAAATATTTTATTATTTATCTTAAATTTAAAATAAATATTCCCATAAAAAATAAAAAAAATCCTTTTTTCGCCTCACTTTTTTCTCAACATAATTACCACAAAACAGTCTTTAGGGTAAAAAATACTTAATAAATAGTATATAATTTTAAGTTTTCTATTCATTTATTTTTAGATTCTTCATCAAATTTTAATTCCTTATTTCTTTGTTCAAAATATTATTTTGTTCGATATACATATTCCTGATATGTATTTAGAGAAAAATATAATAAATAATTTCAAACCATAAATTCGAGTTATTTATTTTTCTAAAAGTTAAGGGGTTTCTTTCATCCATCATTAGGGGTGTATCTTTGAAACCATTCCGGAACCTGCTCTAAACCGAATCCAGGCATCTATCGTTTCCACGGTTCCTGTTCCAAACCGGTTGCGGACATTTACGGTTCCAGTTCCGGAACTGGAACCGTTGAATCACTGTATGCAACGCATCTACCAATTGAACACAGGCAGATTTTTTAATAAATTAATACCAGCCGTAAAAATAAAAGAGAAAAAGTAGTTTTTCTGTAACTTTACACAAAAATTTTAGTTGAAAACAATAAACAAACTATTTGCCAATTGATCACATTCATCTATTTAAAGTCATATGCCTATGAATCGCATACAGCCATTTACATAGTCGGACAAAAAATTTTTACAAAAGAGAAAAAACAAGGAGGAGCATAAAACTTTTTTGGAAAGTAAACAAGTTTCGAAACATTTAGAGAACCTTCCTCCATTGTAACTTTGTTCAAATTTTTTCAAAGTTTATTTTTATTGTTTGACGAAGCCATAACAACTGCCTTTTTTCTACTTTTCCTCGTACTTTTGATGTTATTTTCTGATTTTTGTTTTCCTTTTTGTTCGATATACATATTCTAATTTATGTTTCATTTCCCCTTCTGTCACTACGCCGAATTTATAAACAACAAAACGAAATACCCGCGTCTGCAAAACTGACAAGATGATGTAAGGATGATTCACCCAGCAGCATTTAAAACGCTTAGGCGGGAGTTAAACGATCTAAAAAGGAAAAAGAGAAAGTATTAGTCGATGCCCCGGTAGCTCGGAGTTAGAGCTCCTGCATATAGCGAGCGAAAGCGCCTAGCAACAACTAGCAGGTGGTCGCAGGTTCAATCCTGCCCGGTGGCTAAACTTTGGCAAACTATTTCTATGATAGTCGGGTCTGAAAATTTGTGAACACTATACAGTAATTTGCTAGGTGAGAGATCATGTCTAGCAACCATGTCTAGCAATCAAATCATGTCTAGCAATCAAATCATGTCTAGCAATGTCTACATAGCAATCTCAATTAGAGCAGCAATACTAGGTGAGATTATTCAGAAAATAGGTGAGAATATTCACAACAACAGCACAAATTTTCTAAAACATTTAATGTTATAGTAGAAAGATAGAACGATATTAGTAGTCTACATCCGCCTTTTGTCGTCGTCGTCGTTCCCGCACAAACCAAAAGGATGTGAAATGGTCGGAGGAAAAGTCAAAAGGATAAGAAGGGGTTGGAGGGAAAACCAAAGGAAAATTAGGATTTTAACAGCTGTTTTGAGGGAAACCCTAAGGGTTTACAAGTGGTTGTGGGGGAATCGTCGCGCAAAACTTAAAGGTATGATTGTCGTCTTAATTAATCATTAATCACTTATCATAAACCTCATAAATCAAAAAATTACAAGTAAAATCTGTACTTGTCACTTTTTATGTTTATTGGAATTTGTCATTGGATCAAAAGAAAGAAAATTTTAATTGTCGTTGTCAATCAAAGTGTTAAAACAAAATATTTTTAATTGCAAAATCTATTTCATAATTATTTTTTACAAACTCATAAATCATAAAAAATGTTTTTCAAAAACAAAAGTTAAAGGGGCGTGGCATAAAAATTGTTAACTGGATCAGGTCAATATAAAATCATGTAAATCCAACGGTCATTTAATAAAAATTCATTTAATTTTTCATTATAAAATATGGCCTTAAATTTAAAAGACAAAAAATCGCTCTCCCAACAAATTCTTCCTGAAGTTGATTTTAATGTTACGCCTACAGGAATTACTATTTCTGCCTCTGACCGCTTATCTAATCCGAGATTTATTCCTTTTAATCATCCAGGCCGTTGCCGTGAATGTAAATCAACAGAGGTAGAAATTGATTTTATAGTTACAAAAGAAGGTGTCACCATCTTCTGTAACCGTGTTAAGGGAAATCAATTCGTACCCTTCGATACTATTTATGAACTTCCAGGTCATTGTTTTTTCAAAATTAAAAATAAGGCGCGAGTTGTTAATATAAATCATAGTACTCCTGTATCAACTCCTATTGATCATTTCCTTAGTCAAAATCATGTTGAAAAATCAAAAGAAATTTTTCCTTTAGAAATACAGGTGAAAACTGAGGAACCAGCAATAGAAGAGGTAAATGAAGAAAATAGAAAGAGACGAAGTACAAGTGAGCCTTTGATTGAAGAAATTCCAATTCACTCACCAACTTTAGCACAAAATTTAAAAGATATTATTTACCCCACTTCTGTTTAATTTTATTAATAATTTAAAATTATAATGGATTTAATAAATTTTTTGAATAAAGATATTAAATTAAAATTGCCTTTTGGATTAATAATTTCAGGCCCAAGTTCTAGTGGTAAAAGCACATTTCTTTTAAAATTTATTTCCCAAACTGATTATTTGATTCACCCAACGCCAAAAAGTATTCTTTATTGCTTTGGAGAAATGAGTTCAATCGTTCCTATACTTCAAAAATCTGGTATTAGTGTCTATGCAGGTGTTCCCTCAGAAGATGTCATAAGTAAATTACTCAAACCTTCTCTAATAATTCTAGATGATCTTTTACTTTCAATTGATGAAAAATATTTGTCAGAACTTTTTACAAAAAAGTCCCATCACCAAAATTTTGGAATAGTCTTTGTCACACAAAATTTATTTGAGAAAAAGATAAAAGTGGCTAGACAAAATGCACAATATATTATTTTAATGCGATCACCCAACTCTGCCCTTTCCATTCGTAATATTGGTGTACAGCTATTTCCAAAAAATCTAAATTATTTTCTTGATTCTTATCATCAAGCAACAAAAATACCTTATGGGTATCTGTTAATAGATATGCATGCCTCCTCTGATCCTACACTACGTTTAAGAACAAACATATTTAACGATGACGAAGAAAAAATAGTATTCATTCCTAAAAATGGTAACTAAAAATCATTGTACTATTAGTCCCTTAATTGATAACAATTTCGAATTTCTTAAATGTATTGCAAAGACAAAATCTGACAGAAAAAGACGTCGTTTACTTAAAAAAGCCCAATCCCATCATCTTCTCGCTATTGTGGAAGTTTGTATGAATATTCTAAAATCTAGGTTTAATCTTACAGTGCGTCAGAAGAAACGGCTCTTACCATATGCAGATTTTATTCGTCAGCTGGGTCGATCTAGAAGTGAGAGAGGCGCAAGAAAGGTTTTATTGCAGAGAGGAAATGGGATTGGAGGTGTTTTCGCTGCGCTTCTCACTCCCATTCTTATAGAACTAGGAAAAAATATTATAAAAAGCGATCTATTTTGATAATTATTTTCATTTTAATTAATTAATATATTTTCATTTAATGGCTAATAAATTTATTCTTGTTCCCGAGGATATTTATAAAGGTCTTACAAAATATGACATAGGGGAACCAAATCTAGATTTTGTTCGACGCAATCTTTCAATTAATCAGGGAAAACATAAGGATGCAAAAAATATCAATTATAATCAAACACTTAGACAATATTTGCATCTTAGGAATGAAAGAGAAAACAGACCAGTAAAAGTTGAATTAGTTACAGACTCAAAAGGTGTTATAGTACCAAAAACTACTAATACAGCCCCTGCTTCACATATTTCAAATGATCGTGGTAACGAGGACGATTACTGGTTATCTGATGACTTGTCCTCTCTTCCAAGAGATCCGCAGCTTCCTTTGTATAACATTGTTCCACCTCTTACGAATTCATCTTCTTCCTCTAAACTACAAACTCGGAAAAAGTTAATACAAAGGGGACCTTCACCTCCTCATCCTATTTTTCGTGTGCTTTCAAAGAGAAAAATAAGCGAGACCGGCAATGATGGTCAGATTATGAGGGGTAAAAAATTTAAAGAAAATCTTCGCGGTGAATTAAATGACGATAAAAAGGTTATACAGGAATCTGCAAGTAGACGAGAAAAGAAGAAAAAAGATTATGAAAAGAAAAAGAGAGTTAAAAATATCAGAACAGATATCCCTTTGCAAAGTAATAAAAATGATAATATCCACGAGGCTATTGACGCTCCTCTTGTAAATTCTCCCCCTTCGTCACTTCTAGCTGCAAAAAGGGTTCAATCCGAGAATTTTGAAGGTAGAAAGAAAAGAAAAATTAGTAATGAAGAAAGGGAAAAAATTTTAATAGTCGAAAAAAGGAAACAATTATTGGAACGGATAAGAGCTAACAAGAAACTTAAAATCCCTCTTGACCATTCTGTAATGCATGATTTACGGCAGAATGATGAAAGTATAAATAAAATAAATAAAAAAGGTCGATTAATCATTAGAGATGGAAGATCACCTTCGCCGCTTTTACCGCGTAAAAAATTTAAACGAAAATGGGAAGGTATTGAAACATTAGAACAAAAAAGACCGAGAAAACCAGTTTCAAAGAAACAATCTGAAAAATCTGGTAGACAATGGATGGAAAGACTTATAAATGCTAAACGTAACGAATTAAAAAGAAATAAATTTAAACCTTCACTTTGGTAATTTAAATAAAATAAATGGCTGATTACACGAAACTTTTAAATAACTTGTATAATAATCCAAATTCACCTGCAGCATATAGTGGTATTGATTCTCTATGGCATGAGGCGAAGAAAGTTTATAAGCATATCCCAAGATATGTTATTGAACATTTTTTGGAAGGACACCGAACCTATTCTTTAATGCGCCCAAGGAGAGTAAATTTTAAACGAGCACGAACAATAGCCTCAGGATTTATGACTGATGTGCAGGTTGATTTAGCAGACATGCAATCTTTAGCTCAACATAATAAAGGGAATCGGTATATTTTATTAGGAATCGATGTTCTTTCGAAAAGATTATTCGCGACTCCTTTAAAAACAAAAGGTGCTAAAGATGTCATTGAAGCTTTTAAAAAACTTTTTGAACAAATGCCTATGATACCATATAGAATATTTTCTGATAAAGGCAAAGAGTTTAAGAACAAATTAATTGATGAATACTTTGAACAAGAAGATATCCATAAATTAGAAGCAACCCATTCAATAGTAAAAGCCTCACTTGCCGAACGTGCCATTCGGAATTTAAAACAAAGACTTTATCGCTATTTTTCACAAAATAAATCATTGAATTGGATTGATGTATTAGTACAAATTATTGACGGAATTAACCATTCAATATGTAGAGTTCATGGAATGCGCCCAATTGATATTAATTTTGAAAACGCTCAAAAAGTTTGGAAAAAAATATACGGGAATGCTCTTTCTACAAAATCTGTTAATAAAAATTATAAGAAATTTAAGGAAGGTGATTATGTTAGAAAGAGTTTTGAGAAAGGCCAGTTCGAAAAAGGATATATTCCTAATTGGGGAGATGAAATTGTGCAAGTTGATAAAATTATAGGCCATTCAAAACCAATAATTTACAAATTAAAAAATAATTTGGGTAATAGAATCAAAGGATCATTTTACAAAGAACAATTAGCTAGAGTTAGAAAGGATGCAGAAACTGAGTATCGAATTGAAAAGATTTATCGTAAACGAACTAGAGATGATGGAACTAAAGAAGTGTTAGTAAAATTTATAGGGTATCCGATACGAGAATGGATACCTGAAACAGAGTTAGTATAAATAGTGTTAACCTTTTTTTATTGTATCATTTTTATTCAAAAATAAAATGTCAAATTCTTTTTTTGTATTTTTACCTAGTAACGTTTCAGATTATCCTGAAAATCAGCCAAATAGTTTTCGTGTCCATTTACCTAAATCGATTTTCTTTAATGGCGATTGGGTTTGTGGACTACATAGTATTTCGTATCCTTATTCTTGGCCATCTACAATTGGAACATTAGATGATCAATGGATAAAAATTCATATAATAGATTCAGATATAAATAAACATGTTTTAAAAATTCCTGTACCCAAAGCTTCACATAATACTACAGAAGCATTACGAGATTTTCTTAATGCGAACTTGGAACAACAAAGTAAAGAACCTGATTTGATCTTTGCGCCAAAGGGTTTAGGAAAAGAAAATATTCAGTCTCCCCCAAGAAAAAATAGGAAAGAAAGAGATGTAGAGCTTAAATCACCGCCTTTATATTTTCCAGGTGAAAATTGTGAACCAGTTTTGCCACCAAAAATATCTCCTGAAAAATCACCACTTCGAAGTTTATCTCCAAAGTTAGAAAAGGTAAATGAGGAGTTGATTTTTGCATCGAAAGGTTCTATTCAGTCTCCTCCAAGAAACAATAGGAAAAAAAGAGATACAGTGCTTAAATCACCGCCTTTATATTTTCCATCTGAAAATAAAAACGTCGAACCAGTTTCTTCACCCCCACTGCTAAAATCTTCCGAAAAATCTTCACCTCGAGTTTTATCACCAATAGTAAAAACTGTAAATGATGAGACAACTCTTTCACCAAAACCTTCTGAAAAATTGCCCCCTCAACCATCGACTCCTCGGATAGAAACGTTAAAGGATAATCCAATTCTCTCACTAAAGTCTAATGAACAATCACCTCCTCGTGTTTTGACACCTGTAAAAGCTTTAACACCACCACCACCGGATCAAATAGTATTAGACCAAGACTCACCTATAAGAAAGAAAAAGAAAATTGATACCCCTCCTCGACAACTTTCGTCGGACACTTTAGAAGAAAGAAAAGAAACAAATATTTCCTTTGAATTATTTAAAGATATTACATGGACTGAAAAGATGGAAAAGGTCCTAACATTTATCTTAGGACATACACCTACACCTAATGAACGTCAAAAATACAGTTCAAATATGCCGAAACTTATTTCTACATATGAAAAATCAAATCCCAGTCAAATTGATTTATCAATTCAAGAACAAGTTATTAAATCTATCAAATTTCAATATAACTCAAATTTTGGACGATTTAAAATTGTTTTTGATCATCCTAGCATAAATTATATCTCATTATCTCCTCAGCTCGGATATGTACTAGGATTTGAGAACCCTCATTTTGTACAAAATAATGAAATTGCCAAGTATGGATGTGATCTAAAGGGAGGATTTTCAAGTTTTGCGGTTTATGCTAAAGGGTTGACTGAAAATATGATAATTGGTAATTCATTAAGTTCGCTTCTTCGTGTCGTCTCAGTTTCAGGAGCAACGCCTGGGGAATATAATGAAAAGATTTATGACACTTCTATCTACGCTCGTGTTCTTCCTAGAGAGATCAATGAAATAGAAATTGAGTTAAGAACATTAGATAACGGACGTCTTATACCTTTTTCATATGGAATAGTTTTAGTTGTTTTGATTTTTAAAAAAGTTTTAAAATTTTGATCAATATAAAACCACATTTTATTTTTAAATCATTTCATTTTAAATAAATTTTTAAAAAATAATGGTTCATATTTTATTTGATACTACGAAAGTTGGCTATGATGATTTTATTCAGACGGGTACCGGAATTGAATCAGAAAATACTTATAATTTTTATAGAGGCCTAGCGCCTTTTCAAAGAGGGTATGGATTACAAACAGGGGCTGGAATAGGCGATATCCTTCGTGGACTTTGGCGCTTTTTTCTTCCCATAGCCC